ACATCGTCGTCCTTGGTGACGGTTGATGAGGTGGAGGAGGCGAGATCCGGCGAGGATTCGTTGGAGGCATCTACAGGCTGTGAAGTTTTGACCGCGTTGGGAACGGTTTGTTCTGGTTGCGCCTCCTGGGCTTTGGCGGGTTGCGCAGGGCGCGACTCAGACTCGACATCTTCGGCCCAGTTGCTGGGTGAGGCAGTGGCTTCTTGACCAGATGCGCTGTTGCCCTCTTTGGCTGGGGTAGCAGAGCCGGATGCCGACTTGCTTGTGGTCGCTGGCGTGGAGACGCCTTTCGCGGCTTGCGCGTATGAAAATGTAGACATGTTGGTCTGTGTGTGAGTCTCGAATAAAGTCCGGCTGGTTAGACGAGAGTAAGCGCTTAGAATCCCCGATGGGAGCGCTGCGGCAAGCTGGCCAACAGGTGTCGACGCTGATATGTCCGGAGAGGTGTTTTTGGCCTCCCCGCACGTAAACTCTTTTGTCGCTACCAGGGCCTTGTGTTGGCGACTAAGCGATGTTGCGGCGATGCGGCTCTGCAGTGGTGGAGAGCTAGGTAGTGTGCTGAACGATGGCTCGGTACTGTGGCTGTCTCACACGATGTGAGGAAAGTGAATGCTTCCTATTTCACTGCTGGGAGTGGAACAGTGTTTGCGCGTACTGTAGTGGCTGGCGTTAGCGAAGAAAAGAAGCGCAGGAAAAAATTAGGTGAGTAGGATTCAAGGCGTGGTGGTGGAGGCAAGTGATGTATGTGGGCAGTGGTAGGTCTGGGAGCGCACAAGAAGTCGAAATGACTGCGTGGGCGGGCCAGATGCAAACGGGAAGGAGTGCGAATTTATCACACAAGGCTATTGGAAGGGTCTTGGAAGCGGCAAGAGGAAAAAATCATGCGCAAAGTGCCCAGCGAACTCGAGGCGGGGAGCAAGCAGGTAGCAAGCATGCGGCGGACGTGGGCGGTAAGGTGCGCAGAACTAACCTCTGGGGTGAGCCTTGACTGACTGCGGGGTTGGTGGTCGCGGAGAAGGGGCAGAGAAGGCTACGTCGGCGGAACCAGAGTGCTGCTCGGCGGGTGGTAGGTGGATAATGAGGGTTGGAGGGTGCAATGAGGTATGGGCTCCAGGCACACCAAGGTCGAGTTACAGGCTTGTGTAACGTGCAAGCAGCAATCACGGAGCGGGCTGAGGCGGCGTCTGAGGGTCGTATGCGACGTGATCAAGGCAGACGGGGCGCCAGGAAAGAAAATTGGCTGTCGTGTGTGCGGGAGAAGCAAGCGCAGGTGGGAGGAAGAGGGTCACTTTCAAGCGCGAATTTTTCTTTCGTTAAGGTGGTGCTCTAGAGAACCCGACAGCCCACGCTACTTCGGCGCATTCACCACTCCCTCGCCCAGTTCCCGAGAGCGGCCGTCCAGTGACTAGCAGATGACGTGCGGCTTGCACGCTTTATGAAAGTACTTATGCTGGCAACCCTCTGCGGCCGCCGTGGTTCTGCGTTTGCTTTCCACCATTTCAGTTCGACGCGCTCCAACACGCCAATGACGTCTCGCGAACCCCATCGACCCCTCATTTGCAAAAGGTAGTTTTATACATGGCTGCCTGCACTTCAACAAAACAGCCAGTTCCACCGGCTGGCCGTTCCCGTGCACCTGCTTACCTCCAATCTTGGGCTTCGGCCGCCTCCTCGGTGAGGGCCGTGTCGTGCCGGCACTTTCACGTTCCTCTGCCAATGGCCGGCACCACGAGCGAGCCATCTACGGATCCTTGTGCCCTACGGGAAAACGGAATTGCGGCCATTGACCTTTCCGAATCCTGCCGGGAGCTCCAAACCAGCCCGTATTGTTTGTCTGCAATATACAAGCCTTCATTCTTATGCCTGGCCAACTAGGCCTCAACTGTCCACCTTCTCCGCTCCATCAGGAGCACCACCATGTCTTCCCACACTCTAGCCGCTGCATCCAGTACATCGGTACTGATAAGCTGCGAATGCTAATCCCGTTGGACGCGTGTTAACTCTTTGTAGCAAGACCAAGGCGCCTGATGCTGCACGTCAACGTGGATATGACCTTCATGCCGCGAGGCTTGGACATGCGAATATCCTATCACCGCCACACTTTCATGAGGCTTGTTGCATGCGCCTCGGCAGCCCCATGTTTCATATATCCGACATTGATTCCAAACAAATTCTGAGCCTTGTCGGCTACTTTCGGCCTTCTCCGTTGCACGTCTATATTAAACCTGCGATCTGCCTTGATGCAGCTTGCAGAACCTTGGACGGTGGCTGGGATCTCACAGCGTTTAAACAAGTCCGAATCAACAACCGACGATTACAATTCGCACCATCCATAATCCCGGTACAGGCTGCCTCGCCCCGACCCGCGATTACCTCAGACCAAATAAATTTCCAATAATAGTTACCTCACCCAATCAAGTCTGAGGAATACGAACGTGACCATCAATGAGCACTATATCTAGGACCTCTTAGTATCAATTGCACCCCCTCAAGACTATATTCTGCACGCAGAAGAATCACAGGCCACCTAGATAGTATCCACGAGCGCTATACGGAGTATTTTCCATGATATATATCCAGAACAGTACGATTGCTACAAACATTGGAAGAAACCAGAATGACAAGACACTCGCAAGGATAAAGTCTATAGATGCTCAACAATAGATGCAAAACAGGAACACATCCTCGAGGTACACACCATCGTCAGCTGAAGCTCCAATACGCCCAAGTCTGGCGAAGGCATCTACAATACGGTTGAATCTTCCGTACAAGTCTGGATTAAACTCACTGCTCGATTGCCCGCAACCTCTCCATCTTCATCCTAGCCTTCTCCTCACTCCCAGCCCACCACCAAACCGCCCACCCAACTATGCTCCACTTCTTTCCCCACACTCCTCTCATCTCCCTCTTTCCTCTTTCCCTCACCTCGTCCTTTTCAAACGCCACCAAGACACGATCCGCAAGATACCGCCTCGCATGGTCCGGAACCTTGAACAAGGCTTCCCCAAGCGCCGATGGACTGATACCACCTTGACTCATATCATGACTAGTTTGATGGAACGACGAACGTGTTATCAAGGTGAGGTGTGCGATCGATGTGCGTTGGAAGGACGCCTTGAGGTGTGTGCAATTGAGGTCGTGGCCGGGATAGAAGAGGGAGGGGAGGGGTCGACGGTATTTTTCGGTTGAGCAGGGAGTCGGAAGGAGGGGATAAGGCGGCTTACGAGATGTGCGGGAGCGGAGCGTTAGGTCGACGAGGTCAGGGGGTTGGAAGTAGGTTTGAGAGGCCATGAGGAAGAGCTGGAGTAATCTAACAACGGTAAGAGCCAGTATTGACACAGGGAAAGTGAGTAGGTAAAGTGTACGTACCTGGTGCAATGAGCCGTGTCCTTGGAAAAGTCGGACGCGAATGTGAAGGGTAGTTTTGAGGAGCTTGCATCTGCCATAAATAAAGCGTGGAGGGGAAGTAGATGATGGTACATGAACGTGAACACGGCGTGTCGATCCAGTTCGTCCAGTAGTGGTGTCCTAGTCTCCATTTCTATCCTCGCCTTCAACGCCCCCAGAATCTCGATCTGAACAGTGAAGTTTGCCGGATAAGCAAAGTTGGTCAAGACCCATCGTATCTCGTTGAGGAGCCAGACACAGGTTACAGCGGCATAGAAACGCTCTCTCTGATCCGCGTCCAATTCAGTGTAATACCATGTATGCGGCGTATTCGGGTTCCTTCGAGGTAGGTCTCCGTCTCTGAACTTCTGCTCGCGATCAACAAGTGTTGCAAAGCGATGGACAAACCGCTGTGCATCCGAGGTATCATCCACAGATAGGAAATCTTGCTCTTGAAGTTCTCGTTCCAGCCAAATGTTCTCCAGAACACGCAGCCCCTGGTACCTTGCCAGTATGTCACAAATCATGTCATCTGTCCATTCAGCCGGACTAGAACAACTCCTGGCAGTCTGCATCAATTGCGTTTCCCAGATACTGAAACTGAAGACTCCGGGTTGGCTGGCAGCGAATGGCATAGGATGTCGTTCCAAGTGCGCTACGATCTTGCGATGGAGGTCGAGGGATCTGCAAAGCTGGAAGTCATAGCGGTGTTGGGGTGAAGAGTGAATGATTGAGCGCATGATCTCGAGGTAGATGTTTTGTTTTTGGATGACATGATGAGTCTTACTGCACATTCGTCCGAAGTGGTGGACGTCGTCGATGCTACCTAAGTAGTGATAAATCTGTTCCAGGATTTCTGGTGGTAGATCGATGATTATGGCCATGGCTGGTGATATGCCATCTGGTGGGTGCCTCGCTGCGTAGTGTGGTGTGAAGCGACTGGTCTGCTGCCTGTCATGCGGATTCTGCGTGTACGTGTATCATAAGAAGAGACGCGTAGAGTGCAGTATCACATGTCATTCGTAAACAGTGATCGAGGAATCAAGGGTTCGCAAGAATGATCAAAATGATGTATTACAAGTCGAACGCGGTTGAAGACGAGACGGCTTGGTGTCAACCTGGAGTGTCAAAGAGTGCGAACCGGGCAGTTGTCACTAATGCAAAGCAAAAGAAGCTGTCATATCCATCGAGTATGCATGTATCTGGAGATGCAGCTACACAAGGCTGAACCTTCATGTCCTTGGCTGGCTCTTTGCCTGGGTCAGGTGCTCCGGCAATCGCTCAGGGTCCCCAAGCTTGTGGTAGCGCAAACAGCCGCAACCGTCCCATCTGGCCTCTCATGTGCCGACTGTGGCATCTTGATTCACTCGTCAGAATCACCATAAGTCAAAGGCCTTAGAAGGCAACGTGAAAACGCGTCGTTGAGAGATGCAGTGCTGGTAGTTGGGCTATAACCACTCCGATTGGCTCCTTTTGGGCTTACCGCATTGGGCGACCGTGCTTGGCTCGCCGTTCACTCACTCCCGCGTTGTCTCCGCAGTCCGCAATCCAATCAATCCACCCCACGTCATACCTCGCACCACGTCGCAACTCATATCATTCGCATCGCAACCATGTCTGAAGAAAACTCGCAGCCCCCAGACACCAACATGGAGGTCAACGACGAACTCGACCACGCGGTGGATGACGAGATCAAGCAAGACGCGACACAACTGGAAGCCGACGCCATGAACCTCGACGGCGCAAACGATGCCGAACCCGCGACAGTCAACGGTGTAACAGACTCGGCCGCCGCGTTTGAAGCGCGCATACCAGCGAAGAAGGATGCGACGTTGCGCGAGTTCCTTGGCAAGATGGATGATTATGCGCCTATCGTATGCCGCGTCCCGTCCTCATACCAAGCATCGCGAACTAACCAGGCGACCAGATACCCGATGCAGTGACCAACTACTACCTGACCCGCGCCGGTCTGCCACCGCCACCCCAGACATCACAACATCTTGCACGTCTACTCGCTCTGGCGACACAGAAATTCATCGCCGACATTGCGGCCGACGCCTACCAATTCTCTCGCATCAGGTCGTCCAACACCACGAGTAACAACCCCATGGGTGGCGCAGGAGGAGCCCCGGCAGCAGCTGCACCTGGTGGTGCGCCTGGTGGAAAGGACAGCGGCTCAAAGACCAAGGACTACAACCTTGGCATCCAGCGACCAGGATATGGTGGTGGAGGTCAAGGTGGCAGTCAAGGCCGAACCGTGCTCACTATGGAGGATCTGGGCATGGCAGTAGGCGAATACGGAGTCAACATCAAACGTGGCGAGTTCTACCGTTAAGTCCACTGGTTTTGCTTAGGCAGCACTACATGAAAGCTGGTTCATGACGGGATGTGGCAATTTGGGATATCGACATGCATTTTAGGCGTTTGGAACCGGCATCACAGGCGCAGGGTACTTGGCCATTGGGAAGATTGAGGCATCTGGCCCACAAGCAGAGGGCTCCATCATATTTGTACAATAGCAGTACAGAATGGCTTCTAGATAAACCAAAATGATACCCAAACTCCCATTTGATGCACTTGTTTCCCGTTGCTCATTTGTTCTTCGTCTGCTTGTATGTGAACTGCTTCCGTGTTCTAGAATAACATGTCAGCGCTTCGTCGATCTCTCTCCAACCAGCTCCAGCAAGACATGGAGGTTCTGCCACACGTACGGCGCAAATTCTCCCAGCTTACGTCCTACCATGTCCTCAGTTATGGTGAGGTCTAGGTAGCTCTTGCCGTTGTGTATCTGGAACTTGAGGCCGACGAAATTCGGTAGTATCGTAGCCGAGCGCGCTTGTGTCTTGATCGGCGGCGTCCTTTCGCCAGCCTTTTTCTGTACTATTGGTAGGCTTCGAGATGATTAGGGCAGTTTTCGCAGGGCTTGATTGCAGTGGCTTACGGGACGATATTGGGTCCTAGCAGGACGTTAGTCTTTTGATCCTGTAGGATTTGGAAGCAATGCGCAGTATCTCACCTTTCCAGACCGATCGAGCGCAGAGCGCCCGTGTGGGAAACATTGCGACGTAGGGCGTGAAAGATGAGGTCGGCGAATGTTTTCGACGGCTTCCGATGGCCTCACGAAATGCACGTGAGAACGCGGGGGACGCTAGGGGCTTGGCTTAGGCGGAAGCGCGTCGCGAGTCGTGAGTAATTGCTCGCCATCCTTCGGCCTGTAGTGGCGTGTTTGCCTGGAAAGACTACTACAGTGCTTCAAGGGGGACATTAAACTCGCGGAATCACTCCCACCGGCGCCAGAAGTCACGGAGCCGAACTACCACAGATCAGCCGCCCACCATGCCCCCACGACGCGGTGCGCAGCAGAGTATGGGCAAACTTGAGATGTATCGACAAGCATGTTCTAACGAGGCTTCCAGGCGCAGACACAATCCGGATACTGGTCGCCACAGATAGCCATGTCGGATATAACGAACGCGATGCAGAGCGAAAGGACGACAGTTGGAGGACATTCCACGAAGTCATGTGCCTAGCGAAAGAGCACGATGTGGACATGGTACTGCATGCGGGAGACCTTTTTCACGAGAACAAGCCGTCGAGGAAGTCCATGTACCATGTCATGAAATCACTGCGTCAGAACTGTCTCGGCGAGAAGCCATGCGAACTGGAGATGCTGAGCGATGCGAGCGAGAACTTTGGAGGCATGTTCGACCACGTCAACTACGAGGATGAAGATATAAACATTGCTATACCCGTGTTTGCCATTCATGGTAATCACGACGACCCGTCAGGCGAAGGCTCGTTCTCTCCTCTCGATCTGTTGCAGGCGTCTGGCTTCGTCAACTATTTTGGTCGCACACCGGAAGTCGATAAGATCGCAGTGAAGCCTGTGCTACTTCAAAAGGGCGGCACCAAACTCGCTCTCTATGGTCTCAGCAACGTTCGTGATGAGCGCTTGTTCCACACCTGGCGGGACGGTAATGTCAAGTTCTTCCAACCTGGTATGCAAAAGGACGAGTGGTTCAACCTCATGAGCGTGCACCAAAATCATCATGCACATACGCCGACCAGCTATCTTCCCGAGAACTTTCTACCAGAGTTTATGGATCTTGTTGTATGGGGCCACGAGCACGAATGTTTGATTGACCCGCGATACAACCCTGAGATGGGCTTCCATGTCATGCAGCCCGGCTCCTCAGTGGCTACGTCATTGATGCCTGGAGAGGCGGTTCCCAAGCACGTTTGCATTTTGAGCGTCACTGGCAAGGAGTTCACAACTGAGAACATCCGCCTGAAAACGGTCAGACCCTTTATCATGAAAGAAATTGTGCTTGCAGAAGAGAGGGAAATTAAAGAAAAAGAGATATGGCGCGTCCGCGATGTCAGCGATAACCGTGCAAAGATTACCCAATACCTGAACCAGGTTATCGAGGAGTTGATCCAAGAAGCGAACAGGGAGTGGCTTGAACTTCAAGAAGACAGGGAAGAAGACGATGACATCGAACCGCCAAAACCGCTTGTCCGACTGCGTGTCGAGTACACAGCTCCAGGAGGGGGCGAATTTCATTGCGAGAATCCGCAGCGTATTTCGAATCGCTTCATGGGTAAGGTAGCCAACATCAACGATATTGTACAGTTTCACCGGAAAAAGAAACCAGCGAACCGTGCATTGAAGAGCACGGCTGAAGAGCCAGACGAGGACATCCTGGCTGAGCTTTCGATTGACTCAGTCAAGGTCGACAAGCTGGTTAAAGAATTCCTCACAGCTCAAACCCTGACAATCTTGCCGCAGAATTCCTTTGGAGATGCAGTGTCCCAGTTTGTGGACAAGGACGACAAGCATGCCATGGAAACCTTCGTCGGAGACAGCCTCAAAAATCAGCTCAAGCACCTCATGGCCGCCAACGAAATCGAAGAAGAAGAGATTACCAAGGAGATGGCGGAATATCGCGAACAACTGGAGGATCTGTTCGCTTCAGGACAGTTGAAGAAGACACGGAGGTCAAAGGTCAAACCTAAGCCAGCTGGATGGGACAGTGACTTCGACGGGTCTTGGGCTGATCAGCCTGCTGCCCTCGTCCGTTCTGACAATGAAGGCGAGAAAGACGATGACGAGAGCTTGGCTTCCATAACCACGAAGAAAGCTGCTCCACGCGGTCGCGGCAAAGCAGCTGGCACAAGTCGTGCAACTGCCGCTGCTGCCAAAAAGGCCGCACCTAAGAAGGCTGCGCCAGTAGCCAGAGCTACAGGCGGCCGAGGCAAGAAAAAGGCTGTTGTCGAAGAAGAGGAATCTGATAACGACGAAGACGTGATCATGATCGACGATGACGACGATGAAGAAGTTCCAGAAGAAGATGATGAAGATAGCGCGGAAGACCTTTTCGTTGCCTCGCAGAAGAAACCTCCTGCAAGGAAGGCCGCTGCGAGGACGACAACCAAACCCCTGGCGAAGTCCAAGTCGCCGGCTAAGAAGACGACGACTACGAGGGCCAAGGCGGGACCTGCGGCTACGCAGACAAAGTTGAACTTCTCGCAGACGCTTACGCAGCGTAGTCAGCCCACGCGGGCTGCGCCGTCGAGGGGAAAGAAGGCTGTGCAGGAGCCGGTAAGTGACGATAACGGTATTTATAAAGGTTGGGCTAATATGGGCATAGAGTGATGATGAGATTGAGTCTGATGACGCCTTTGAGTCGGCGCCGCCGCCTAGTGCTAGACCCACGAGGAGGAGGTAAAGGTACAGAGGACGTCAGAAGTGTTCTGAACATCGTAATACATGAGCAGGAGGCGCGAAGAGACATATATGGTACAGCATATTCAGCATGGAGCATAGCGAGGGCGTCAAGGCGTTAAGAGGAAAACTATGATAGGACCCTGGAAGCCAGCGAGCTTTATTACCCGAGTACGTGTGACCGTACTTTGTATGCTCATATCCTATATTAGAGCTGTATGCCCAGGCTTACGCAGCGTTCATCTGCCTTCAGAAGAGTGTGTGCGTCGAGTTTTTCTACATCTGCGGTTTCTCAATGAGCCAGTAGGTGGCTCGCTCATTCCTAGATCTTAGTACTCGGGAGTTTCTTCTTGCATCACATATGAGACTTTATCGTCGCACCTGGATGCCGGAGTAAAAGCCCGAGTATTCGCTTATCCATGTCTTCAGTGTCGACTGCTCTTGCCTTCTCAATCTCACCTAGCAGCCGCGCTTGTCCGCATGTCCACTTCTATAAATCTCACGATGCTCTTCTTCAAACCTTCCTACATCGTCGCTGTGTCATCTGTTTCCTCAGTGGCCAACCCCGATCGTCTGTTACACTGGCAGTTGCGGCAGGATACAGGGTATAACAACCTACCCAACCTCTTCCTCTGTCCTTCTCCTCAACACACTCATTTTGGTTCCATCTTCTTGTTCCGTCTCGCCATCTTTCGCATTGCTGCACTTGGGCTTTTTGGATAGCTGTCGTTCACTTCTTGTTCGCATTGCCTCACCATCGATCAGATTTGAGGTATGTCATTGTCTCTGCTACACCAATCATGACCCTCACCTATATCCGCAATGTTGAAGTACCGTATGCTGCAAGGAAGTTATACTGACGAAAGCAGGATATTCGCATCACACCATCTCAACCTTTTTCGCTTCTCCAGCTCCACGTCTCATTGACCCCATAATACCAGCGGCTCAATCAGGTTGGCGGCTCGCTGTCTACGGTACCCACTTAGGGTGACAGACCCTCCATGATGTCGTTCGCATACAAGGTGGACGAACTGCTTGCACTTCGCGACTCGGTGTCGGAATCAGCTGTGTCGATTGAGAAGTTTCCTAATGAGGATGTGATCAGAGGTCAGTCCCGGACTTGCCCTCTTCTGTCCTTCACCTTTCACCTTCCCCACCAAGGAGCATAGTGTCCAGATGCGGCGTATCCTGCACGCCCTTAACCACACACGCTGCGACCGACGATCCCTACTACACTACATCACCTCAAGCCTCGTCGTCTTGGTTACTACCATTGCCATAAGGCGAGCACAGCTGATCGTTCTCATATACAGAACACGTCCTACGCCCCTCAGTGTCCGCTTCGGCGAATCTGTCTAGCAGAGCATCGAACAGAAGCCTACGTGTACCTACTCCGGCGGCTCTCGTTCCTTTCGGCCCTCAGAAGCGGCCATCGCCGACGCCGTCGATTAAGCGTGGCAAAGCAGAGAAACTTCTCAAAGAACACGGAAGTCCCCCTGGTATACGAGTTACCGCGGGTGGCCGTATAGTTCCTAGCGACCTTCCACCGCTCGGCACGTCCCGATACGGCGACACCGCTTACAGACCACAACCACCACTGCGTGTCGCCCCAGGCAATATCCCTCAACCGCAGACACAAACAAACGGCAACAATACCGCTCGCGTTGAAGTCGTTGGCGGTCAACCAGTCATTTTTGTTGGTGATCGCATGTTCGCACTGCCAGCAGTCAACGCAACCAACCCCACGATACCTCCCACTGGCCCCGCTACTATGGACACGATGGCCAAACAGATGCTGGGCGCTTCCACGTTGGCTACTCACAATGCTCAAACGGGAGGCGCCTTTGGGCCATCACGTTCCAGTACTCACACACCATTTGCTGGCCTGGACCTGACGACACTCAAGGCGCAACAAGCGCTGAAGAAGCAAGAGCTGCGAACCGTAGAGCAGACCGAGGTATTGCAAGCTGGTCACCAGAGCGAGGCATGGCGCGCAGGAATGATCGAAAAGAAGCGGTGCCTGATCGTCGAGCTTGATGCGCTTCGAAAGCAAATAACAGCCGCTGAATCAGAGGGTAGTACTGCTCAACACAGCACCTTCTCTGGAGCGAACGCTTTAGGCTCAGCACCTATGCCGACTTTTGGACCGCAATACCAGCCAGGATATGCTCCTCCCATGTACCCATTCGCAGCACCGTATTCACCTCTGCCGATGTTCCAACCCCAACCCCAGCCTTTTGGTCAATTTCCCAACTTTACTGCTGTCGAGCCTACACCTTTTGTCCCAGCCGCGGCAAACCCGCCTCATTCTCCTCCAGGATCAGCTAGTCGTCGTTCTAGAGCTATTGAGATCAAGCCACCACCTCCAGAGGATGTCAAGAAGGGATCTATCTTGAACCCAAAGAGCCCTACATACGAGCCCGTTACCAAGTCCAGCACCACGCAAGGCGCTGTACCGCCCACTCCCTCGCCAGAGAAGCGATCTCCGTGGCGAGCACAACAACAGCAAGAACAGGGCAAACATGACCGCCGGGCGTCATCGCAGAAGCATAGTCTGTCTAGCGTTGATACCATGGATTTCTTCCCTACAAACACACATGAGCATTCCTCAACACGCGTAGCCCCACAGGCCAAGGAGACCGGGCACTCGTCCGATGAGAACACTGCTGTCCCATCTACACCGGAGAAGCACTGGCCTGCTAGTCCTTGGAATGAAGGCGATTCTGGTCGCTCAAGGCAAAACGAGCCTGCGCCTAAGCTCACTTCGTGGCCTGAGGCATTTGGCAAACAACCTTCTATGACTGCTGTACAGCAGAACGCTTTTGAGAAGCCCTTCTCCACCATGGTTGAGCGAGCTCCTGCAATGGGCGCCAACACGTCGACTTCCGCTTCGAGTAGCTTCATCGCGCCACGCGCCAACTCGGACCAACGTACTAGTACAGATGAGAACTGGCCGTTCCATGGCAAGCCGGTAACATATGTTCCGTCCACATATCAGGAGGGCTACCAGGCCGGTTACGACCATGTTAACATTCCTGACAGTCCCGAGGTTCTGCAAGGCTACATCCAGGGTCTTTTGCACTTCCTCACAGATGAGTCGAAGAAGCGTCAAGCTGAGTATCAACACGGCATTGACTCTAGGACACCCTCGTTACGAGCGTTAGTTGCCGGGTCTCTTCCCCAAGACCCTGCTGCCAGTATGCCTTTGAACAACAACAACGCCAATGGAGGTCAGGAAAACATTCGCTCAACGAAGGGCAATCTGCAAGACGATGTCCGTCGTGACTCGGGATACGGTCAGCAAGGGAATGTTAAGGAAATTCCAGTGCAATACATGGCTCGCAGCGAAGTTATTCCGGAACGCCATCGCATCGCCTCTGCCGCGCAGCACCTGAACCCTCCAGTGATCGTTCCACGGAGGCTTGCGTCTAACTACCGACAGGCTGCGTTTCCGAGCATCGAGAACGATACAAGTCGAGGCATGAAGAATCCAGTTAATTTGTCCAAGGCGAACAACCCCTTAGACAGTGGCGTGGTTCAGCATATCTTCGGCAATCAAACCCAGAATCGCAACTATGGCACGTCACTGAGCTCGCAGCGCTTCTACCCAACGCTCAAGGAAGTGAGTCTGGGCGAACTTGGTACCCATGGCGCACCTGTCCCTCGGCACTTTGGTAACCACCGCTTGTCAGGACTGGACGGCGCCATGGACGATTTGTCGGAGATGATCAACGATACGCCTACTGACGAGCGTCGGTCTTCGGTTGCAGGGGACCTTCGTTCGGCTGAAGCACCTGTCCCCTTTGAGTATGAGGAGAGCAGTACAAGCTGCTTCAAGGTGCCCAGCAGTAAGGGCAAGCAGAAAGCGACGTCTTCTCCAACAAAGGCCGCGGATGTCGAGCGTAGTGCTGCTACATCTTCGCCGGCCAACCCACCTAGCTCGCCTAAGAAGTCTGAAGAGCATTCACCCGCAAAAGCGAAGCTGGAACAGGTGACCAACAAGTTTCGACGCAGCAAGAAGGACGACCCTCGAACCATGTCTCCAGACGAGAGGCAGAAACGTTCAGACAAGTGGCGACAGCGCTTTCGGGACCTGAAGAGGACGGAGATCGAGGAGATCGAGGCGCATCGTAGGAACTCGCGCACCTGATCGTTGATTGTGGTTTGCCGTCGTCTACTTCAGATTACTTGGATAGGTCATTGCATCTTTTCGACCTCGACGTGAACCAAGTCTACTCTTGACGCTCTTCTCCGTATAGGAGATTGCTTCTGAATTCGGCCGAGGATTACTTTCATGGAGTAAGCACTATCACCGATACCTCCTTTTAACAACAACATCTTTCCGATTGACGAGTCTCTTTTGCAACCCTCTACTACGACACAGTGGTCGCTATGGTGGCCCAGATATTCTCCGAGTTTTTTTTCTTCAACATTTGTTTCGACAATAGGCGGACTGGCAGAAGGCGGCAGGGGATGTGTCATGGGCGAAGACGAGTCGTTCTGGTCAACTATGCACCTTCTCATCTCCTTTCCGTCAGCATCTTGCGTATAGATTCAGTCATTGTATAATAGGTAGCCAGCATACTCATCCGTTGCATCGTAGAATAATACAGACATGTCTCGCAATCAGTATAGTTTAGTGACAGCCGGTTTGTTCCTTAGACTTAAAGTGAGCTGACGAGGTTCATGGTGCACGGCCGATATATCGGAGTGACGGATGAGGTCCGAAACTTGCGCTAAACTGAAATAGCAATGGTTCTAGAACAGATTGGCGTCCGAGGCGGTCGTCAATGGACGAAATGGCGGAAACATGCGCGTCCTTTGTGAGCTGTCATACATCATCTACATCATCTCCAGCGCATACATTGTGTACTTGGGGTGTAAGACGGCTTCACCATGGCAACGACCAAGGGTCAATCGATCACGATGGATCTTGTATCGGATTCACACAGCCGCGTTTGGTGCGATGACGTGCCGTTATGCTTTCGCGTTGCTGATAAATCG